TCAGTTCCCTTGCTTGTCATGATCACTTAATGCAGATTAGTTATCTCTTAACGGGCTTTAAGCAAACATTTTGTCAACACAATCCAGTGGGGAGGGGAGAAGAAAAGATAGAGCCCAGGGGGAGTACTTTTCCACTGTTTTGGCAAATACTTATGGGGTCATTCTTTGCAATCCTTTGCTAATCCTTTTATATCTAATTAATTAGCTTGGGACAATTTCAAAGTTACCAGTGGGATTTGATTTAAAGCCTTTACACCAGGTTTTAAACCTCCTTTGGATAGAATGGAAACACTCTGCCCTTTCCCCTTCTTTATTCCGGCTGGGTAAACAGATGGGTGGCTAAAGTGTGTCAAAGGGGAATAAGTTCACTTTAAGGCCCTGTGCATGTATGGCACCACCATTAAGGCATTTCTAGAAGGTGGAGATTTGCCAGACAGAGCAAGGCAGCCAAAACAGAACTACATCAGAGGCTGCTATCCTCAGCCCAGGGCATATTACCATTATAAGGTATACAAGTGGGACCTATCACAGAATGTGACAGTGCGGGGGTGTTTGCCATGTCCAGAAGGATCTGCCAGTTAAGCTTCCTCCAAGACCCCCTCCCTGTGGGCCAGTTTTCTGGATTTTTATCCAGCTGAGCAGATAACTGAACATGCTCAGATCTCATTTGGCTGTTCCACCCCCTAGGTTTTAGGTTCTTCTACAAACTTTGGGGTTTCCCAAGTCTCCTTATGCCACCAGAACCACCTACTCATAGCTTGTGGAAGATGCCATTTTGGATGCACTCAGAACAAATTTATGATGAGTATACAGCAAGGGTAGGCAACTCTGGTGACCCAGATAATTTTGGACTGTTGTTACTGTGTGCCTTCAAGACATTTCTGGCTTATGGCAACCCTAAGGCAAACGTATCACATGGTTTGGTGTTGTTGTTGTTTTGCAAGATTTCTTCAGAGGGGGGTTGCCATAGTCTGAAAGAGAGTATCTGGCCAAAGCTCACCCAGTGACTTGGCTGAGCAAGGATCTGAACTCTGGCCTCCAACCATCCTAATGCAACACTCAGATTACCACACCACACTGGCTCTCAACTCTGGACTATAGCTCCCATAATCCTCCACCATTGGTGATGCTACCTAGGGCTGATGGGAGTTATAAGCCAAATACATCTGGAGGACCCCAGATGTCCACGTCTATGAACAAATCTTGCCAAGGAAACCCCATGATAGGTTCGCCTCAGGGTCACCATAAGTTGGAAATGACCTGAAGGCACTTGACAACAAAGAATATAGGATCCATATTTTCAGCAGAAGTCCAAGTAACTGGTAAATGACAGATCTTGCTTTAGTAAGTATAGGAGCATAATGTTTATTGTGAGAACTTTTTGCTAATTTTAGCTGGTGATAAAATGTTAGTGTCCATGATGTCCCAGATGTCCTTCCTCTGCCAGCCCATTTCTTTCTAGGTACCCAAACAATTTTAGAATTTCTTTATCCTCCCTCTCAATATTTAGTTTGTTTTTTCCTGTAAGCACTTGTATCCTAACCTGGAACCTTGATTTATAGTATCCCAAATCTGCAAAAGAGTTTATAATCAAAATGAAAAAGACGAAGAATACCAAAAACAACAGAAACACAAAGGTAAAATATATACTTTTGAAAATTCACACTGTTTTACAGTTACAAACAACCTGGAAGAGCTTGGAAAAAATGTTTTTATAGTACAGTTCCCAAAATCAAACTCCAGGTAGCATGGCCAATACCTATGTTGATTGGAGGATTCTGCGAATTCTAGTCCAAGCCATGCTGAGAGGAGGAGATCTGTATTAGTCTGCTGAGGCAAAAATTATAAAAACTCTTGTGGCACCTTAAAGACTAACAAATTTTGCTGGCTTCCCTATACTATGCTGGCTCCATGTTTAACGTACCACAAATCTCTTTGTATTTGCTTGGCTTTGTTGCAAGAGACCTAACACTGCTATCCCTCTGTACATTTTTGTAAAAGTGTTACTGTGTGTCCTTGTGGTGAGGTCACCAGTATCTGAATGAAATCAGCATGAATAATATTTTCTTTATTTAAAATCATCAAAAGCTACAGGATTCATTCCTGTATGCTATATATTTTCCACATCAGATGGAGGCTTGTAAGGTGAATCCTGCATTATTTGGAGAGCCTAACCAAAAGGTCAGCCATGAGCAAAGATGCAGGACAACAGAGGAAGGTTGCATAGCAAGTTTCCTTTCCTAAAGAACACATCTTTCTCCAGAAGGTTCTCTCCAGTTCAAAGGTATATCAATCACACTGAGGAAAGGATGGTTAACTTTGAAGAACCCCTCCATGATAATGTCAGGTCTCCTATTCAGTCCCTCCATTGTTTCTTCCTTTGGACGTTAAGTATCGAACAGATAAAAAAGTAGATTGGGGGGGGGGGAAATGTGTTTGCTCTCTTTAAGCAATAGTCACCTTGACAAGCTGAATTATATCCAAGAGCCAGGGTGTGTGTGTGTGTGTGTGTGTGTGTGTGTGTGTGTGTGTGTGTGTGTGTGTATTGTGTGTGTGAGTCAGCATGTCAGCAAAACAAAAGCCCTTTGAACCAATACATTTGTTACTCTTCACGTTCTCTTCAGAAAGTGTGTAAAGACAAAGTTCAAAGGGAAGAAAAACATGCTAAGTTCCTCGCTTAACTTCCTGTGAAGAACCATTTCTAGTTTTCAACAGGAACTTTGGGTTAACTCAGAAAGGGGGGGGGGAACATGTGGTAACAAACAGGAAGATTAATTTCCTGTCTCCCAGGGGTTAGTAATACTGTTGGTTTTCTTTCTAAACTCTTTCCTGTGTCTTTCAAAGAACTTCCCTGAGGTGGCAATTGTGTAAACATTGCTCAAAACGGTAGGCTTGACTTTACTGTTCTGTTCCACCTATGGAAAGACAATCTGTCCAACAAAAATAAACACTCAGAACAAGCAGAACATCCATGGCTTGAATGAATTGCCAAAGGCTGGCTCTGAAGGTGGTGCGTGATTAATAAAGCAAAATAAAGCAAATATCTTGAGTGCTTTCAAATGTTCAGGTCCATAAACTCACAATTGTTCCAGTGCTGGCATCTTATGCCATCAAAACTACAAGGTTTGTGAATCATGCATTTATGGAACAATACAGACTATGTGAATATGGGATGGCAGGGAAACATCCTAGAACAGGTATGGGGAATGTGTGGCCCTCAGGTGAAGTTAAACTACAAAATCTATCATCTTCAACATTGGTCATGTTGACTAGGGCTGATGGGAGCAACAGTACCACAACATCTGGAAGGCTGCTTGGTTCTACCTCCATCCCTAATAATCCTATTTTCTATGTCCGCCAATAAATTCGACTTTTCCCTTGTAATTTCACATCTTGTTGCTGCAGTTTTCAGAAGAAGAAGCCAGACACCTACCCAGCTGTGCCTGGACCCAGCTCTAGTTAAGAATCCTCTTCTTTTGACAAAGCAACCACAGTCCTGTAGTTGAAATTTGAAATTTGCTTTTAAAAATTGAATTTTTAAAAAATGTAATTCTTTTTAAATTTTCTGTAAAAACATCACATTTTAACCAAATCTTCACTATGTATATGTAAATCCATTTAGGTTGTGCACATGATACTTTAATTTGAAGGTATAATTTTGATTTTGCTAGTTGTTTATGTCACAACTATTAGCATTGCATTCAGTGGCATAGGAATTATGATTTACGAGTAACATGAGTGCAAAAAAGCATTACTAAGGATTCTGTATGGTTTGAAATGGAAGGAAGAGGTCAATGGGAGTGACACCATGAATTACCACAACAGGTGACACCAACCCTAGGGACACCACTGATTACAGTCAGAGGTGGCAGGGTAGGAGGACAGCTAGACACTCATCCATCTTGCCTTTTAAACAGTTCCACATCCTTCAGCACAGAACACATACTCTAGAGAGATCCTGTTTTACAGATTATTGTTAAACACAGTGGAGATTATCACATGGCGGTAAAAAACGCAAGAGAAGTGCTTTGCTCCCATCATGTTTGTGTGATTGCAAAGAATTTCACATGACGTCATGCACATACCGTATTTGTCTCATCATGGGAGCATCATGCTAGTGCAACTTCTCATTAATGACTTCAAAGTATTAATGGCTTACTAATAGCACTTCATTAGCGCTATCGCAAATGTATGAAAGGCAATCAAATGTGTGAAAGGCAATCTCGTTTCAATAGCATGTTATAATCTCCTATGACGGTTACAAAAGGGGTGATTCTAATATTGCAGTCTAAAACACATCAGCCTTTTTTGCCACTGTGTCACACATCAGTTCATCAGCATCAGTTCATCATGTTTGGTGGTGGTTGTTGTTTAAACTGTTGTCAGTCTGCTATGCTAAAGTGCCTCAGTGCAGAATCACAAGAGTGGTGTTAAGACCTGGACTTTGTCTGCTACAGATTCAAACAGGGGAAGGCAAACTGGATTTTTTCGCCCATCTTTTCCCAAAATCTTTCTGCAATTGGATGGCATAATAGAGTCTTTTTGGGAGTTATTGATTAACTAGTCACCAGGATTCACTCAATTGTAACACAACTTTTCTATTCTGAGAGGCTTTATAGAACTGATGTAATGGAGCTTTAATGGTGGGTTGTCTTGCTGCTTTTTTTCTCCTGCTTGGAACAAAATGGATTTTAAATGGTCTTAATTGTATAGATTGTTTAATTGTATTTTAATATAACATTGATATGTTTTACTGAAATTCTGTATGAATTTTATTCTCCCCTGGTTTTAATATTTGGTAAGTCACCTTATGTCCCACTATTGGGGAAAAGGTGCAGAGATGTAGCTTTGTTGTTGTTATTTGTCTTCAAGTCATTTCTGACTTATGGTGACCCTCTTAGGGTTTTTCTTGGCAATATTTGTGCAGAGGAGGCTTTCCATTGCCATCCTCTGAGGCTGAAAGAGTGAGATTTGCCCAAGGTCAGGCACTGGGGTTTCCATGCCCAAGCGGGGATTCGAACCCTGGTCTTTAGAGTCGGATAGTCTGATGCTCAAACCCACTACAAAACACTGGCTCTCTCTCACTATGACAAAACATTTTGTGAATGAGGTTTCCATGATCATTTTACTTTTGCATTATAAAGGTGAAGAGTCACCTTCAAGGAAGTTCAAAATGAAACAGTTAAGAGGACCAAATGGACATAATAAGAATTCTGTCCCTCTCCCACTCCAATGATGTTACGAGAAGTGGCTTTGATTGAATTTTGATATCAAGATTCCTT